TTAGTTTGAAATCAAGCTCACTTGGTGAGAATGGTAAACACAACCGACTTAAAATCTGTTCCCCTGTTTCCCCACCCCTAACCCCCCACACCCCCCCCCCCCCCGACGCCCCAAACCCCTGCGGAAGATGTTTAAAGAACCCTCTCACCCTAAACCCAGCTCCTTGATCTACCCTTTCCCCCACTGCTGCCTCCAGTACTGCAGTCATGTGCTTACATTTTGTGAATTATGCAGTGCCTCTTGAGTACTACCTATGTGTAAATTATGCAATGAGTGAGTACTTGCGGGCCTGCGCAGGAGCACCAGGAGCACTGGGGGTTTTCGCTTTGCAAAGCTGTATGATGAGGATTTCAGAGTGTGTTGAATTGGTATGTGGGGGTGAAAATGGGTGTTGTTGAAGGCCTGAGGTGCCAAGCTTACCGAAGGTCGAGTGCCAGGTGGTCCCCACACTGGTTTTCTTCATTTGTTTTGTTTTCGCAACTTTTATGCAGGGTTGCATTGCAGCCAATTGCCAATGCCGGCTGCTTATGCATCTGCATCTGACCGGTCCTCAGAGGCCTAATGGATGAAAAAAAAAAGAAAAAAGAAATTGGGGGCTTCCTGAGCATGCTCCAAACACCCGGAAACAGGTGTGAAAACTATATGCTTTTCCCGGTGTTCGAGTTTGGTGGGTGGGGGGGCGCGGAGGGGGAGGACGGGGTGTTATTGCAAAACTAATTAAGGAGAGTATAGCTTTTCAGACAGGGATGTCTCTTGTCAATCTGGCTGCATGAGGTGGTGGGGGATTAAAAGGCAACCCTATTCACCATTCAATGCTTGACTCTCTGAAGATTTTTCACCGTTGAAAAGTAAAACAGTAATTCCACAGGGTGTCTCGTGTATCTTTAATCTTTGATTTAGAAACCAATCAAAGAGAGAGTAGATCTGGGTAGCAGATGTCGCTTGTTGATCTCCTTAATTAGTTTCACCTCAAGGTCCAGGAGGTGAACTAATTAAGGAGAGTAGCTTTAGAGGCAGAGGAGCGGTCTCTTGTTGATCAGGTGCCATGAGGTGGTAGGGGATACAAAGGTGACCCTATCCACCGACCGTTCAGATCTTGATTCTGTGAATGCTGCTCTGTTGAAATGTACACAGTACTGAAAATAGTAAAAAATAATAAAAATTAAATTTGTGCGATATCATGGACAGCGGGACAAAAGCTTTATTTGTTAACAGTAAAGTAACTCCAGCAATAGTCAGGTGAATTGGGCATGTGAGGGCTCTATGGAAGTGGAATGTCAAGGCATATGAAGTGAATGAAGCATATCGGGAAGAGTTTTGTGAATCTTTGAAAAACTATAGTGGAGGAGGAGGAGGAGAAAGGGGGGGGGGGGGGAGGAGAAAGTTGGGCTGTTGTGTGGGGCTGAGAACTCTGCAGTTGGTGCTGCTAGCTGACCGGTCGGGGGTCGCCGAGCATCGACCGGTTGCAGTGCGTATCCGAAAAAAAACACAATGTCAAAAAACTTGAAACCATGATTACCTTTCCCAGCGATTTGGTTGCCACGCCGCAGTATGCTTGCGTCCTGAGCGGCTCTCTCTCCGGAGCAAAATGGTTGGTGGCATCAGGCAAAAAAGAAAAAAATCCACACCCCTGCCATTTTTTAATTTTTTTTATTTTTTTATTTTAAATTTATTGAAAAGGTGCAGAGCAGAAATCTGGACTGGGTAAAGGAGAGGTGTAGAGGCTTAAAGCCTAAAAAAGGTGGTTTGAGGAAGGTTCCAATAATGCTAACACACACACAAAAAAAATAAAAAAAATCCACACCTCTGCCAGTGTTTTTTTAAGGGTGCGCAGCAAAGGCTTTTAAAAGGGCCTTTAGCCAGAGCTTAAATTCACGAGCAGCAACTCAAAAGACAAAGTTCTTGAGGTAAAAGTCACATCCGTAATGAAATGGAAAGTCATTTTGAAAGGTTACAACAGGTCCTGCGCGAACAGGTATTGGACACAGTTTTTGAGACTGAGAAAAGGTCATGTCTCCTCGATGAAAAATTATGTCTGTTCGTCAATAAGTCAAAGGCTTCAGTCCCAGTCCAGTCATAATTCCACGAGTCAGTCCTGATTCAGACCGGGAGTCCAAAAGACAGGCCCGATGGCCCAAAGCAGCAGCAGACCATGGGAAAAGATACTGGGACACACACTTCGCAACAATCGATACTGGGTAGGAGTCCCAGGCACACTTGAGGCTGAATGCAGGCCACGCCAGACCAGTCCAGCACTATAAAGGACTGGCCAGCCTCCCATTCGGACGGATGTTCACTTCGCATGGGAGTGTGGAAGTGCCGTGGCATTTGTGCGCTAGATGTGTGTGAGCTGCGCTAGGCTGAAGAGCAGCGCTGTGTGAGAAAGAAGAGAGTGCTGGCTAGAGGGAAGGCAGCCATAGCTGTGCCAGCAGAAGTTAGTAGTAATAGAAGAGTTAGTAGTAGTAGGAGTACCAGTGAGTAGTATTCAGAGTAGATCTTTGTGTGATAGGGAGTGTGCATGCATGATGAGTGAGAGTAGAATAGTACTATAGACCAGGAGGGTGAGAGAGAAGAAAGCAGACGAGAGAGGGGGAGGTGTGAGATATGGTGATACTTACCTACTGGGCGCAGTTGTTGACGTTCGGCAGCTGGTGCTGAAGAGCGCCAGGCCTGGGAACTCATGTTGATTGGAGAAGACTTGTGACTATGTTTGGCGTTGAACATTTGGAGTCACGATGTGCCCTCCTTGCTCTGGATTGGTTAATTAATTGGGTTGAATTTCCTGCTTCTCATTCATCTTCCATTGGGCTTTGTGTGAGACATCGCAACTTGGGAAATCTGTGTGGATGCATGTGATGTGAAGCACTCCAGCAAGTGTTGAACAGTCGGGTTCCTTGCACTTTAAGCAAGGATCCAATAATACTAAACCCCCGTTCTGCGGACACACACATCCACTTCCACTACATAAATTGCCACAAAGCAACAGTCGGAAATTTTTCCATGAGCTTCTGAGGTTCTTGTCGTTGTCGATCGAAATTCTCAAAAATGATTGTTAAGCTGATCGATCATCAATTGTTCGAATCCGAACACTCTGGAGTTGGTGGCATGAATGGTGTTGGAAGTTGGAGTTGCTCTGCATAATGTGTGATGTAATTTGCACTTTTGCAGGCGTTTGCTTTGCTCACGAAGAGGCTGAAACCGCTGGAGGGGACCGCCAACTTGTTGAACGAGTTTAGGGATCTGTGCTACCTGCTCACTTGCAAATCGGTGCAGGATGCACCCTCTTTCAAAAATTGGGAGGGGATTATTGCCTCCAGGTGAGAAAGCTCGAGTGCAGATCTGTGTGCAGAAGCGGCCGACAGAGGTGTTGACGAAGGGGGATAGTTTGATTGGAGGGGAGGGTGGGAGGCGGGAAAAGTGGGTTGTGTGGCTCTGCTGCTCGCCAGTCTTTGGAAGAAAAAAGGAGCACCCATCAATGCGTTCCAGTCCGCTAGCTACCGTCTTCACCCGAATAAAACGCCCGGTCATTGTCGCTGTATTTGGTGCATGTTTCAGTCCAGATACGACGATAATTACCGGGCGTTCTATGCGGGTGAAGACTGTAGTCTCTGAGACTACAAAGTATCTGACCATATTTGTTTGGAGTCCTTGGACTGACAAATGAATACCAATTGCTTAGAATAATACATTTTGATGGGGAAGGAGGTCGAAGCAGAGGTGTCGAGTTTTTTAAAGTCGCTACCTTCTTTCCCCTAATACGACGCATGCTGTACGGTCATTTTCGCTGTATTTGGGGTATCGTTCAGTCTAAATAGAGCTCTAATGGCCGTACGTTGTATTCGGGGGAAGTAGGTGGTAGCTCCTCCTGTCCTGCTTTTCTGAACCTGCCCAAGTGGTCAACGCTTCGAAACCAGGGTTGGTTAAAGAACAAAGTTCCGTGATGTATGTGGATAGGTATCTTGATCAGGTCGCCAACTGATTTGTACGACCTTTTTCGCATCGACATTGGACATGACTGCTACCGTCTTCCCCCGAACACAACACACCCTCATTTTGGCTGTATCTGGCCGGAAATATAGCTTGTATACCTTCATTTTTAGGGTGCGTTATGTTCGGGGGAAAACGGTAGTCCTACGCAATTCATGAATTTCGTTCGTCTGGTTCCATCGGCATTCAAACTCAGGTCTCTGCATGTCAAGAGTTTATGGGTGTACCGGCTGGCCTGTAGGCCCGATGGCGAATTGCTATCGTCTTAACACCTTCCTTTGTTTGTTTTCAGATATTATGCAATACAAGCGACTCGGATCTTGGTGTTGTCGCTGTTATGTGACAGTGCAAGAAATTCTCTTTTTTTTTTTTTTTTTTTTAATGTCTGTTCAGTGTTTCCTAAGAAAGTGAGTAGGGCAACTTCTTCTGTTCTAGTAGATGTGATCGCCAACTGATTTTAATGTCTGTTTACTCGGTCTGACTTTCGGCGAGTAAAGTAAAGTGTGCATGGTTCTTGGATCTGTATTGTGGTCTGACTGTGCAGGGAAAAGCTTGTTGAGCAGTTCTCCTCAATGCTGGAGTATGAAGGCACTAGCCTTTCCGGTGGGTGTCTTTCCTAGAGTTGTGTGATTCATGGAAATGAAATTGCAATCGGTATCGTGGACGGACTGTGCTACGTACTTGATAAATGATTCCTAGAGTGTTTTTTTTCTTCTTCTTTTTCTTCAATGATCCCTAGAGGTGTTTGATTCTGTCCTCTGGGACATCCGTTAAAATCGGAATGATACAGAGCATGGTAACCCCGGACCCGGACACCGGACACTTCYGGACTGTCTTCCGGACCAGTGTCTGGACTGGTCCGGACTGTCCGGACACCGACATCACCGGACACCGGACAGT